TCTCAGTAAATGTCCAAAATACCATTTCTGTTCGGTTAACCCCCCTCACCAAAAGTATTAACATAGCAGAACATAGGTTAGTGGAGCCCTTTTGGACATTTATAGGTTGTCTCTCTAGCTTAGTAAAATTAGAGCAACGTATTGTAAAAACTACTCCCTCCATTCCTAAATATAAGACCTTTTAGGGATTCCACTATAGAGTACATAGGGAGCAAAATGAGTGAATCTACACTATAAAGTATGCCTATATACATCCGTATGTAGTTCATAGTGAAATCCCTAAAAGGTCTTATATTTAGGAACGGAGGGAGTAATCACCATGGAATGCAGAAAAAAGCACAATGCATGAGTATAATTTGTTTTTTGTCCACAGTACTTTATTAATGTCTACTCCCTCCGTTCCGAAATAGATGACCCAACTTTGTACTAACTTTAGTACAAAGTTAGTACAAAGTTGGGTCATCTATTTTGGAACGGAGGGAGTATATTTGAGAGAATCCTTATAGTGACTACAGGTGAACTGTGGCAAGCAAGATGGCCCTCTCATCAGTTTTCAGGAGAGTAAACATCAAAGAACTGATCTCAAATGTTCCAGTGTACACTAGCTCAACAGGTAATGAGCTTAGGCTTTAGACAGTCTGTGACATCAAAGTTTAGAATTTACATCTTCCTTTTCTGGGCCAGTGGCCTGATCCTTATTTTGTATGTACTTAATTCCAGAGACATCTGGAGGAATGAGCTTGGTGTTTAGGCGTTGGGCCACAAAAAAGACTGCTGGGTCAACGAAAAATGGCCGCGACTCTAACCCCAAGTATCTGGGTGTTAAGAAATTTGGTGGAGAGGTACCGTCTTCAAGTGCTCCTCGTGGTTTTGATGTTTCTTCTTGTTCATGGCCTTGAACCAGATTAGCTGAATAATTTCCTAAATTACGTGAAAATAGCTAATACTTTTGCCCAAATGATAAGTGCCACACGTTTGGCACGAAGTAACACCACCCAGACCTTTTTTACATGAAAGTTGCCAAATGAAAAAAAACTCCAAAAAAACTGAAACTTGCCATCCAAACAGAAAGTTGCCATGCTTCACAACTAAAGTTGCAATCCTCGGGTAACTAAACTTGTCATCAAAAAACATCAGGGCGGAATTGCTTCGTGCCACACATGTGGCACTTATCAGGGTCCTACTTTTGGTATTTTGGCATCTGCTTTAATCATACCATACATTGTAACATTGGTAGTCGCTGTACTCATCTCATTATTATAGCCAAAAAAAAGGAAAATGATCTCATACCTCTCTCCAACGTTTACACTTGTTTTATTTTTCCAGAAAGTGGAACCAGGAAACATCATCGTACGACAAAGAGGAACCCGCTTCCATCCTGGGAACTATGTTGGCATGGGGAAGGATCACACTATCTTCTCTCTGAAGGAAGGCCATGTGCGGTTCGAGCGGAATAAGCTGACTGGCAGGAAATGGATTCATGTTGAACCTGTAGCTGGGCACACTCTCCACCCTGTTTACGCCAATGGTTCAGCCACTGCAGCTGACATGGAGCTACTGTAGTGTTGATGTGTGCGTGGGTTGCAGTGACAAGTTGCTGATAGCCTACTGGGCATGGCTCTGCTGTTTTGCTCCGACATGGATACCTTCCATAAATGAACTTGTTCTAGTGAAAATGTTTCTGGGCTAGGATGATTGCAATAAGTAACTTCAGTGTGTTTCTGATGTCATTTTAACTATCCATTCTGCACGAGACATTGAAGGTTCACTTGTGTAATTTGTTTGCTCTCTGATTGTGTCCTTTTGGGAGGAACTGTATGGGTTGTTGTAGCTGAAACCTTGGTTGCTAGTATTTCTCTAGATCATCATGATATTTCTTTCTGCAGTAGCTTTCTGAGTCGCCGGTGTAATGTTTTCTGGTAGAATGCTAATGTCCAGTTTTATGTCTATTTCACCTGCTTCTCTGGTGTTTCTAACGCTCAGAAAGAGAATGTACGCGGAAATTTATCAGAGCCTTGGATTGTTTATTGTGTTTCACACTGAAAACAGGTACAGGTACAGGTACAGTCTTTATCAAAATCTACAATAAAAACAGCTAGGAAAAAAAAATAAGATGCATGTCTACAAAATTTGATTGTTTCATTTAGATCAATTTTAGATCTTTTCTCCAAACAGCCAGTGGGTGTAGAATGCCAGCGATTCTTTAGGCTTGTACTCAGGAACAGTGTGTCCAGATCCCTGAAACATGGTGCTTGTCAGAAAGCCTCAGCCATATAATAAACTCTTGTCGATTTAAGTTTGTGTCTCTACAACATTCTCCAGATGGACTTCAAAGCTTGCTTACATACCTTTATGGTGAGGAAGGTGAGATTGTGATCATAGCCTTGTGTATATCTGCGGTCGCATAAAGCAGGGAACTTAAATCAGTTCAGATAAATGCTTTTTTTTTATGTTTTGTTAATCCTAACATGAAGTCCAAAACAGCTAAGGACCGGGCAACTCTACTTAACTAATGAGACGTGGCAAAACATTTGCATCCGTTTCAAAAAAATAGTGATAAAAACATGCATGCTAGTTATGTTAGACAGAGTTCTCGTCATCTATCAATTGGCGCATCAGATGGCAGATATATAACTAAATCAGAAACATATGTGAATGGTGAATAATCAAGGAGAAACATGTACAGTTGTAGAGAAAAATGGTAGAACATCATACCCAGCAACTTGACCCCCAAAGTGCCATGGGCGCCATGAATCGACAACTCGGTAGCCTAATGATCTGACCCATGCCTCCGTTCCAGTGAAAGGGATACACAGATCATGATCTCCACTGTACAATTAAACACCCAAAAGTTGTTAAACATCATTTCTCTTTTTCAATAAAGTGATTACATATCGGAAAAATGCAAAGGTGAGTACCGGTACATACCCCGTGTTGCAAAAAAGGGGAGGCTGCACATTTCAAATTTATCACACAAGTATGTATTGCACAAAAGTATGAGCACTAACAAAGTGACAAAGTTACACATTTGTGAGTTATTCGCAAAAGAAAAACACACACACTTGTGAGTTGTAAAAGATGACCAATTTGTGACCCATAGTGCCAAAAATCCACAATACCGAAAAAGGGTTTCCCCCCGTTTATATTATAAAGCAACCATCACCGATAACAATCATCGCAAACAATTCAACACCACACCACACCACCACACAACACACCCAAGGCCGGATACAACAGGTAAAGGAACAACCACGAAGCTGAGCTCTGCGAAAGTAGGCCTCCAAAGACGGCGCCTTCAAGAAGGAGAACGACACCGGAGCGCCGTCGCCGTCGGATCTAAAGGATCATGGTTTTCACCTGGACCATCCGAAGGAGGAGAGTAGCCACGACGACGCCTTCAAGAAGGAGACGACGCCCGCGGACGCCGCCATCGTCGGCCCAACCGAAGCCGAGCAGGGGATCTCTCCTGGCGCACCCTCCACCTTCAAAACACCTCCGCTCGCCGAAGCACCGGCTGCCGCGTCGCCCGAATGGCCATAGCGACCAGCCCACACCTGAGCCGCACACCCCGCCCACAAGCAACACGACTACCACCACCACTGAGGCCACCGCCACGGCATCCAAGACCCCCCCGCAACCACCACAACGGCTAATGGACACCACCGACCGGTGAAGAGGTAGAAGGCACCTCCTTCCACCCCAAAACGGACCCTTTGGTGGGAAGGCGGCCCAGCCGGCTAGATCCAGGCAGGGGAGGGGCGCCGGCAGCCGCCGGCCTCGTCCTCGCCGCAGCCACCGCACCACTCCACCGGGGACATGGATCACCGAGACATCGGCACGGTCAGGAGGCCCCCTGCCTCCCTCCCCGGATCGCCCCCACCACCACCGGCCAGCCAACGGCACCCCCGTCGAGCCGCTGGCATCCACCAGCCGTCCGCCACCGTCCACCACACGCACCAGCCAAAGAGTAGAGGAGAGGGCGTCGACCGTTGCCTGAGCCGCCCATCGGCTACCAGGCACGCCTCAAACAGAGCCGCCGCAGCCCGCGCCACCCGCGGGGCAGATCCAGCCGAAGCCGCCGCCGCCACCGCCACCGCCACCGCCACCTCGGCCACGCATCTGTCCTGCAACACCTGCGTCCAGCCCTCCATGCCCGGCATGCCGCTTCGCAACTCCGCCGCCGAGCACAGCCGCCCGCGCCAAGCCCCCATGAGCAGGGAGAGAAAGGGCCCCTCCGCCGCCAGCACCCACCGGGCTTTGCCCAGCAGCGCGGACAGGCGGCGGCGAGGGGAGGGAAGGGAGGGAGGGGGAACGCGCGCCGGCTGCTAGGGTTATCCCCTCGGTCGCTCGCGGGAGCAACTCGAGGGGAGGGAGAGAGTGCCTAATCTTGCCAACCAGATCTCGAGAAGTTCTTTTGAAAATAAATGTGAGACATTTTAGGTCACTACTTTAGTGATTTTTTTTTGAAAAGGGGATTACCCTGGCCTCTGCATCATAGGATGCACACAGCCATCTACTTTAGTGATTTAAAACGTCTTATATTTGTTTACAGAGTGATTCTCTCTGACGGTTGTGTTTCCACCGTTCGTTTGAAGCATTCTAAATGGACAACTTTATGCCTTAAGCACAACACATGTACATCAGTGTAAGCATGTGGGTTAAAGGTATCCTTATTGATAAAGCTATTTTCTATTCCAGGTACCAAGAAAGGCTGTGTGCATCACTTTATGCACAGGCCGAGGGGCATCCCCTCTTTTCGAAAAAATTCCAGGTATCAAGAGTCTAATACTATTATCTGAACCAATTTACCCACAATAAATATTAGGACTAAAGTTTGAAAGTTTTTTTTTCCTGAAGGTTATATTCACGTTCTTTACATTGAATCGAGGCTTGTGCTTCGCTATCCTATTCAAATATGAATTTTTTTCCTTCCGTTCTTAAGCAATAACCGTAAGCAGAAAATGTATTATGCACAACCAATCTGTTAGTTTTGCTTTACTAGAAAAAAGTCAGTTTTGATTGGACAATTAAATGTATTATTTCCTAGTAGTTCAACCTGTTCTCTACTGAACCTTCACCCTAATTTGATTCCATATATTAATCGGTGTCTTCTTTTGCAGAAAACAAGTTACTCGGTGTTAACATTGTCAAATGATCAAGTTGCAGGTGTGCCCCATACCTGTAAATAAGTACGCGATATCCCATGGCTGTGAATTTTTTGTGATACTCCACCATGCTGCCTGTATCATGAGTGTAGTCTATTCTTGCAGTATTCAATTCCCATGATCCAATTAAGCTTTTCTGATGTGCCAATTTCGATCGAGGTTATTCCCGACAAACAAGAGTTAGTTAATTTGTGCCAATTTTAGGATTAAATTCACACTAATTTGTCTCGCATCAACCATCATACCGCTTTGGCGTGAATGGCAGCTCTTACATCTTCATCATCCAGCCATATAGTAGCAAGTTCATCACTCTGTGAGGACATATAATTATTATAAATGAGAGGACCAACCATACTTATGAAATGATGTATGTGTATGGAAAATGAAAACAACAAATTGTAAATGATCCACATATAACTATAAGGTCATTGATATAATTTTCATACCGTGCATGGAAGTGATCTACCGCCAAGCTCGGGCCACAACGTGACATGTCCGCTGCTCACAGGAAGACCGAGAGGCCATGAAAGCCCCGCCATCCTCTTCCTCACTGGGAAAGGCCTCTCTGTTTCACCTAGCTTTCTGAAGCTTGATGGCAAGCTGCTGTTCACGAACGCTGTCTCTTGGACTTCAGGGTGGTGGTAGCATGGTGCAAGAATGTTGTACGTGTTCAGGTCTTTCAGTTCCTGCAGATGACAACACAGATTGAGGCCTTACAGAATTTGGAAGGTTGCGTATTTGCTTGTCGGTTTACAGGTTCTGGTACATGGACATTACCCAGCGGACTCTATCTATATTTTCTTGGCACACATCATTAACTTTTCCCCAGAATGTGCCGTGGCAAGCAGCACTGACATCCTGAAACAGGGCAAACAGTCAAGACACTGCTAGCTTGCTATCTGTCCACAATGAAACTACTTGTGGCACCGGCAATTATGCAGAAACAAGACGAAGCAAAACACCTCAAACAAGTCAGTTGATATGAGACCCATTCCATGTGCAAACGGCACAAAAGAGTTTAAATCGTAGTCTGCGTCGGTTGCTCCATTACCAATTAGATAGCCCTGGCTCCCGCAAAAAGAAGAAGAAGAAAAAAAACAATTAGATAGCCCTGGATGCAAACACCTCAGACTGTAAACTCACACACAAGTTTGCATGCACAACTAAATGGCGACGAATAAAATGTTAGTGGGAATGACCTTCAAATTGATTCTTGGCTTCAGAGCCATCTGTATCCCTGTAACGACGTAAAGATGAGATGTAAGAAACTTCTGATCTCAACTATGATTAATCTACTCGCTGTGAGTGACAAAATCCACCTTTAACAACTTCATCAGCTAGTGTAGGAATGTATATCCCTGCGTATGACTCTCCGGAAATGTAGAATGGGTTCAACTGAAACTCCGGGTATAACTCGAACCACTGCAACAACGAGTAAAATCAGCATCCAGTTTCTTGCATTATGTCATGTAAATTATCGCAACTGAAGCAGAGATTATTACCTTCAAAAGGAAGATATGCGCATCGGCTGCGGTTTTCAAGTCACCTGTTTTGTAATCCGATTTGTTCAATGAGTATGACATCCCAACACCAGCAGGGGAGTCCAGGTACATCATGCTTGAAACCTAGTTACTCCAGTTTAATGACACATTTATTCAATCACTTGGCATGGAAAAAAATACTGCTCGTTCTATGACAAATTAGTAGAGCTGAACAAGATTAGTACTCCTAAATTCTGGGCAGGCTGCTGCGGGATAGGCCTGTGCTCCTAAACTGTGTTCAGGTATGCGGATTACCTTTGACCAACTGTAGGGATTGAGCTGCAGCTTGGGCAGCCCTCCGGGAGTGCTTCCGCGCTCGAAGTTGAAGGGACCTGAACAAAGAACAGGGCACCGGACGGGTCATCCCAGCCAAAATCACAAGAAGATAACAAAAGAAACTGCCGGTCCCGAAGAGAGGTAAGAATAAGATCAATCCAGACCGTTCTCGTAGACGAATCCGTCGAAGCTGGAGCAGCCGGGGCCGCCGTTGAGCCAGAGCACGACGGGGTCGATGGCCGGATCACGCTCCGACAGCACCAGGTAGTAGAACAGACTCCTGCCATTGCTCTCGTCCACGGTTATGTACCCGGCGTAGTGTTTGGATGGGAGGGCGCCGCCGAAGCCCGGGAGGTGGGTCACGAGGTGCTTCTCCGGAGCTGCGACGGCGAGAGGGATGAGGGGCAGCAGAAGAGCGAGGAGGAGGGTGAGGGAGGGCGTGGACGCCATTGACGGATTTGAGGCCCGCGATAGCAGGGATTCGGCAAGACGTTAATATACTATATACAGAGCAGTGCAGTTTAGTGGGTGAGGCCGAGCACCAGTGCTGGAGCGGCATGTGTCCGGTCACGTGACCGTGCTATGCTGGTGGGAGCATCCAGTGTGAATATTGAGTAGAGTCCTTCAAAATATGACAAAAACGACAAAATTGACACGTGAACAAAAAGATTTCGCAAAATGAACTGCTTTCAAAAAAATCGCTCAACTGACCTTTTCATGTAGCGTCCGACAGCAAGGCGATGCACCCCACTGTGCAGCGCCTAGCTCCAAGGCGCTGCACGTCCGGTCAGCGTGGCATCCCTGGTCCAGGCACGGCCCCACACCTGGCCGTGCAACGCCTAGAGAGTAGGTGCCACACAGCCATGTGCAGCGCCTAGCGCATAGGCGTTGCACGCTGACTTAGTAACCGCAGCGGGCCGGCCCTTCCCCATCCCCACCCATTCGTTCCAATGGTTGGAACGGAGACGACGACAGCGGCTCTCTCCACTCCCCCTCTCAATCATTTGTCCAAAGAACTTCAGATTTGAAGATTTCGTCTGTGGATTTGTTGCCCAATCCATCCTAGAAGGTAATCTCCTCCAATCCCTTTCTTTCTATCTAAAAAACCATCCCCATTCTTCATGTTTGTGATGAAACCCTAGTTTTGATTGATTTGAAATTTCTATGGGAAATAGATTGAATGTGTGTTGATTTAGCCTATGTAGATTACTTGTAAACACTGGGGAACATTATGTTGTTGATTTGTATTGTAAATCGCATACATAGGAATTTGTATGTACATTTGAATTAATAATCACGTATGCTTTCATAGGGATTTGATTTATAGATGATTTATAACCCTAGATTTGACAATATATGCTTCCATAAGGATTTGAAACAGCTTTGACAATATACATGTTGGCATGTTTGTGTAGATTATATTTGAGATGATAATTGTCAACCCAATATTGAGTAAGTACTGTAGATAATGCTTCCATTGTGCAACCCAATATTGTTGTCAATACATAACATTTTTGTGATCATTGTTGACATGCTTTCATTGTAAATAATGCTCATGGATTGTTTTTGTTGAAAATTTGTAGGATGGTTTGGCTTCTCAATGGTTTTTATGACACTCAACACCGGGCCTTCTTTATGTCAGAGATGAAGAAGGTAATAATGATATTAGTTGGTATTTTGGAATTTGTGTTTAGTTCAAATAGACATGCCCCGTATTTAATACTCTGGCTTGCTTGTTTGCAGTTTCTTCAGCCTTTGAAGATTTGGTCTCACGGTGTCTCTTGTGGTGTCATGCCCTACGATGAGCAGTACACACCATACATCAGGCAGACAGGACTCCTCCCATTCATTTAGCTAGTCAGCCGGTCGACGCCGAACCTCAATGCTGCAACAATCACTGTGCTGGTTGATTGGTGGAGGATGGAGACACACAACTTCCATTTATGGACCGGGGAGATGACCGTGACGCTCCAAGATGTCGCCTTGATCACCATCTTCCCATCAAGGGGAAGCCTCTCTGTATGAGCATCGATTTTGATCGGTGGTGCCAGCAAATGGAGGCCCTTATTGGTATGTCTCCTGCAGAGGCTCCAGTAGGTGAGGGGGAGAAGAAGGAAAGAGTCGCAGTCGGAGCTCCATTCACCTGGATTGTTGCAAACTTTGCGCATTGCCCTCAGGATGCTAATGAGGATGTGGTGCAGACATATGCTCGTGTCTACATGTGGTACGTTATCTCCAGGACTTCGTTTGCTGATGCCACTAGCAAGAACGCTCCATGGATGTGGCTTAAGGCGTTCACCGTCTTCGACAACCAATGGAGTCAGGGTTTGGTGGCACCGGCCTACCTGTACCGATAGGTAGTCAGTTGTTTGTTTTCACTTCATTGCAACATTATCATTGCAATTTTGTTCTAAGTGAACCACGTTTTCCTTTATGTGCAGTTGGACGATGCTTGTTGTAGGATCTCAAGGGATGGATGTATTGGTGGTTGTATGCTCGTACTTTCTGTATGGAGCTGGGAGCGCTTGCCGGTCAGAAGCCTGAAGGACATAACGTACAGGGCTTGGGACGACCACGGCGATGAACTATGGCTCCCCACCTGGGCTTAGAAGTGGGATGTGGTAACCGAGAAGACTAGCGATGTCACTATGATGTATAGGCAGTACACCAACGAGTTGGACATGATTACTGCTAAGCAGGTAAGCATTCACACTACTTCACTCATTCTCATGCTTTCATGAGAACTCAACATCAATGTTGCTTGTTGTGCTATGTTGTAGGTGGAACGGGAGCCATATGGAGTTGGCGATAGATTAGGTAATGCAGGAGATTTCATCCTGAATCCGATGTGCATGCGGGATAGGCATCTTTGGCTTATGCAGTGCCCACTCATATGCAACCGGGCGATTGAGCTTCACATGCCGCATCGTATGTACCGCCAGTTTGGTTTGTTCCAGGCTCACCCATCAGAATGGCAGGACATAGACAAAGCACTTCACAGGTAAGATAGAATTAACCTTGTGCACTTAGCATTTTTAGGTCCTTTTTGATGGTGCTAATATTTGATGTTTTAACATGCAGATTGGATATGAAAGAGTAGCGAAAGATCAAGGACTGGGACAAACATCATAAGAACTATGTCACCATGTTCGAGCTTAGTGTGGAGAAAGCTCGGGCTACTGCAGGATCCAAGCTTCGTGAGCACTGCCCACTTGCGTTCAACAATTACCTGAAATGGTATCTTGAAAGTACTCGTGTGGAGTTATGCAAGCCGATGTATGGTGAGGAGATTTTGGAAGATCCCACTGCCTTTGATGAGCTATCCCAACACAAATACAACAAATATGTCAAGGAAGGGACCCGAGTCCCTTATGCTCCAGTGATGAACTTTCTGGTAAAGTGTTCCCCTCTGCATTTCACCATTGGCCATATTACATCTTTGCTTGAGTAACATCTTTATGTCATTCCCGTCCACAGAGCAACCAGATCAAGAAATCAACTGATAAAAGCCAGGCTATTCTGGAAACAACCCCGCTTGGAAAAGGCAAAGAGGAAGGTGAACTTCAAGCATTCATTAAGGTATAAATATCATTCAGTTGTCCATGTTACATATGTTGCTAAGTTTGATATCGTATTCACTTGTCCATGTTACAGCGTCAGGGCCAAAGGTTAAGGCGGTTTTCCAACCTTGTCGGTGGCCGTGACCCCGAATACTCAAAACCTACGTTGCTTAGGTCCGCTACACCCTCTGATCCCCAATCTGAGCATGGGACTCATTTGGAGGATGAGACTACATTGGCAGCTCATCTGGAGGGTGAGGGTGTGCTCACCCAATAGGTATGACAATAGCACATATTCATCTCTTTGATGCATTGCTAAGTTCATCATGACGCACGTTCTTTACCATATCGTTTGCTTTTATGATAGGTTGATGATGACATGACCTTGCAGAACTATCAAGTTCGGTCAGCATACATGTTAAAGCCTAGGACGGGAATTGATCGGTACATGCCCAAAGAGTTCAACAATAAAGGCAAGGGGACGGTCAGTGGCACCTCGCGGATGGCGAGCTTGGATGATTATGTGAACAAGGTGGAGGAGGAGGATCCAGAGCCGGTTGCTCCTTCTAGGAAGGAGAAGATAGCTGTCAAGAGGGGAAGATGCGGCAATAAGCGCGGAAGGAACTAGTCGCCGTCGTCATTTTCTTATGTAACTCGACTAGTCATCATTTTCTCATGTTGCTGAACTTGTAGCACTCTTAGTGATGTTGAACTTGTTTTTGTTGAATTCGAAGTGACGGTACCTCTTAGTGATGTTGAACTTGTTGTCTTTGTTCAAGTTGAAGTGATGTTTAAATTGTGATAATGTTGTTCCTTAATGTTGTATTAGCGATGCATGTTATCTATTATTAATCAAAATGTTGAATGAAAATGTATCCAATAGTCACTTTTATGATTTTGCAGTTAACAAATGCATGGCGCCTAACACCAAGGCGCTGCACCACACAGTGCAGCGCCTGTGTGCCGCCTGAGAGCAAGGCATCTCATATCTGGACATGCAGTCCAGAGAGCAACAGAAGGTTACAAGCTGATGCTCGGGCCAAAAAAATTCTAAGTGTACGTGCAACGCCTTGCTCTGAGACGCCATAGCACATAGTGCAGCCAGGCGGTGCATAGTGTGGTGTGGTGTCTGAGAGCAAGGCATCGCACATCTTGACATGCAGTTCAGCGAGCAACAGAAGGTTACAGGCAGATTCTGGGGCCAAAAAAAATTCTAAGTGTACGTGCAACATCTTGCTCTCAGGAACCATATCACATAGTGTAGATCCTGAGGCTTCTAACTCATGTTGCCTCTTCTTCTCTAATGCAGCTGCATCCTCCTCTATCAGCTTCCTCGTAGCCTTCTCCCACCACCCTGCCATGTCACCTTCCCCATCCTTCTCCTCCACCCCCTTCATTGTTGGTTTGTTGGGTTGAGAAGCCGCCATACCCACGATGATAGAAACATAATAGTTAGTAATGACAAGAAGAACATATGGAAAAACATGTAAATTGGAACATAACTAACAACAACCTAGGGATTTGGCTGTATGCTTCATCCCAACTACCATACACCATCTTGAATGCGGCTTGCTTCGCCTTCCATGCCTTGCCTCATTTCACCTTGTAATGAAAGATGGCTTTCACAAGGTCCATGACTTGTTGAATGCTCATGGTTGGAAGTGAGGATATTGAGTTGCAAAGCCTGTAAGCGATGAATTCAGACGTGAGTTTTCTGTGGTTTTGGGACACAACCTGGCCATCCACCTTCTTGCCTCGGCACATGTGACTTGGTACACAACTCACTATGTGCCACGTGGGCCCTCCTTTCCATGGTCTTGCATGCACAATCCATGGACATCGGTCCTCCTCACATCCAACCGTGTAACGCACATTGACGTCCGTGTGAAC